ATATTTTTTTAGTATATTACTTGTGTGGTGTAGAAGATAATTATTTATGTAGAGATACTGCTTGCAAACCAATGATGTAAGATGATGTCATGGGGTAGGACTGGATAAGTCTGACTTCTTCCTACTCCATTCAAGCATGTACTAGGTATAAGCAAATTGATATTGGATTAGCATTTGTTGGATATGTGTAAAATTATGTGTGTTGACATATCAACTGTCTTTACATGCTTGAAAGAATAAATCAAATCAAATCAAATGGATGCACTTGGTGATGAAACACTTGCATCAACATCCTTCTGTTTTTGAGGCATAGGTGCTCTGGAATGCTCTGAATAGGATAAGGTCTAAATTAAGTAAGAAAGAGGTGACTGGTTTGTTGTGATTGAGACTATGTATCATTAACAGTGCTTGGCACCTTTGCAACACAATTAAGCCAGAGTCTATATGGTTTTGTTTTTGTTTTCAGCGCTGCTAATGACAAGCGTATCCACTAAGAAGAATAACCACACCGAAAGACAGGTTTTAAGTTGACAGTTCCAAGTTAAGTTGGACAGGAATATGTATAAACAAACTGTATAATCTAAAAATCATTTTTAGTCCCAGACTACCCTCAGACACCGATTATAGTCCATTTTGGATGGTGTAACAGCAGCACCGCTGTTGGCTGTACTGGGGGAGTTGGCAGTTTTTGGCAGGATGAAACATTGTCTTATCACCCACTATTTTTGATGGTGCAGGTCAGAGATTTTGGCAATTGATTACTAAGGCATTTGTTTTGTGATGGATTTTAAACATGAAACAGAAGTTGTTGTGTATATGTATATTCCTGAGCATCTGTATCTTACTAATTCTCTTCAATATGAGAGTATAATATTATAAGTGTAGTTTACAAATAAGAATACATAAACATTGATATGTTTATAGGTTTGTGTACAATTGTGGTGCACTATACAATGATGTGTGGTCGTGTAATAGAAAAATACTGCAGCAGGACATGCATTCTCTATAGTTTTGTGTCTTTTTACAGTTCATAAGATAGCGATCAATCCCATATGCTAATGAATAATATTAAAATGATTTCATGCCAAGGGAATGTGACAACTGTTTACACTCCAAACACAGACAGTCCATAAAGCCACTTCTACTATTTGTATGAACCAACATGCCCTTTGCCTTTAGATAGTCCTAATATGACAGGTGTTTTTTTTTTTTTATCATGCTGGCTAAAATTGGAAAATTGCTGACTGTGTTTCACATATAGAATATATAATGATATTGACTTATAGTGATGCATTTGAATATGTGTTACCATTATATGTACTTTTACCAACATTTCATCCTTTATGTACCTGGTAATGCTTGTGTAAAAACAACACACTTTTCAAATTCCTAACATGTTCCAAATCAGAACATATATCCACTGTTTCACTGAATTGTGGTACCAGCTACTGCATTGTATAATCAGTTTTTAAACTGATAAGGACAATAAGATGCATGTGTTACCAGCTACTGCATTGTACGTATAATCAGCTTTTAAACTGATAAGGACAATAAGATGCACTACTAATATACGTTATTCTCTACTGCTGTCATCAGTTGCATACATTTTTCTAATGTCTGTTATTCTTCCTGTTTACTGAATAAAGAGGAGAAATACACTGACTAGAAAAAATATCATGGAAATAACTATGTTGATTTAAAATCATCATTTATTTCTTAAAAATATACTTCAACTATAATAATTTCATTTCAGCACATTATGACAAACATTTAGCATTTAATTGCTATAACAAATCATTCACTATGCATAAAAATAGTATGATATAAAAATAAAAACAATAATTATAATATTAAATTGAAACAGAATTCAAATCCTTCCACCAGTTACAGCTGTATGCATAAATGCATTATCTGTGTGCTCTGTAAGAGTATACAGTATCACAGATTTAAACACCACTAGAGCTTAAGAGAAGAAGCTGATTGACATTTGCTCTTGCATTTACATTTTTATGTAGTGCCCACCTGAGTTATAATAGGCCCCTCAAGCTAAATCTGCTCTAAAAATACAGTAGGGTGATAAAGTGCTTAATAAGTTATGTTATGATGGCATCTCAATGTCACATTGAGTCATGGGACAGGAAGTGCTTACAAAATAAAACAAATAATAAAGCCCTGCATTCAAATTGTTTGAACTCTATTAATAGAAGTGAAGCTATTAGAGGCAACAGATAGAGTTGAAACAAGTTTGTGAGCTTTTTTTAGACAAAAATATAATGAAAGATCTTGTGTAAAGTCTTTGTGCAAAATGTACCAACATATTGCCTGAAAATGTTTCCTATGTATCATTGCAGTACAAAGCAGGTCCGCAGCCATACAGTTTACAAACACACTAAGAAGAAACCATGAAACAGCATCCAGAAAACAGAGAAGACATTGACTTTTATATAGGTGAAAAGTAAACAAAGCCTGGGTCTCAAATCTATACTATAGACCCATTTGGTAGAATAATTATGTAATACTTATGTATAATTATGTCTAACATGGCATGTGCTGCCAGATGTCAGTCTTTAATTTTGTAACACGAATGACAATTTCAAATTCGCTAAAAATTGGCTTTGAGTACTTTAAAGAATTTATTAAACTATTTCTTTATTTTGTAAGATGTTACACCATTGTCAACATTTTTCCCAGCTGTGAGTAAAGCCTCCATTTCTATTGTGTGTTGCATTATGAGGCAATAGTATCCATCAACACTACGCTTTAAATTTTGTGACTTTAATATTGATGCTACCATTTTAAATATATACTTCACTTGGTATTTTTCCAGAACATAGGTAGAATTACAAATTATTGAACTATAGACTGTGCTGTTGGGATACAAAAATGATGTTTTCCATTGCCTTTACTTGTATAACTTCTAATTTTATGTCACCCCAGAAAACTTTAGACTTTGAAAAGCATAAATGCCAACGTGCCGCAGCACCTGCTCACTGACTGAACACATTACACACTGAAGCAATAGCTAAATGTTTGCTCATGCTGCTGTGAAATGACCCTGAGTTCATATTGTGTTATAGCCACAGTTACCCAACTGATTAGCCTGTGTACAGTGGAGATGCTGATTAATCATATTTCAACCTGCATGCAGCATTGGCTTCAGTAAAACAGCACTTGGCAGATTTCACCAAATCAAACTGTTTCATTTCAGTGTTTTCTTGCAGTATAACAACAACTGCTTATTATCTTAACTTTACGAGTTGTCGGTTGAGTCGCAGGTCCACATAAAAGACTGTGTTAACTTGTAATGAAAAAGAAGGTTTAAATAGTCTTTGGTATTTAGGCTTCTTTTACCCAAAATGACTTGATAATCAGAGTTGAAGATGCAATTCATTATCACAAGTTAAGATGTCACCTTGTAAATTAAGGATCTTGTATTAAAAGTCTTGCTTTAAAATGACAGTAGGTAAATAGACCAAGAAAGCTGCATATTTGCCGTGAAAATATAATAGTTCAGTATAATAACGTTCTTAGGTCATTTATATTGGATGCAGACACATTGCCTGAAAACATAGCTAATGTGTTTTGGAAGTTAAAAGTGGTGTCACTTCTGCTCACAGTTTCCTGAGACCTGTAAAACATTTTACTGCATCTTTGAACTGAATCCCAGTTGCAATTGTGCAATACAAAATAAATAAACTACATATGATTTATATTAAATGAGGAAAATATTTTGTAGCCAGATTCAGATGTTGTGTCAAAATGACTTACTGTGTTGTGTGTGGAAAAGTATAGCGTGCTTTAATTGTTGGTTGTCCAAAGATAGACACATCTCCTCTGTTTGTGTGTTCGTATCTTTCTTTAAGCCTGTCTGTCTACAATATGCAAAGCAAATCTCTGTTAACTATAACATGTCTTTCATGCTCTGTCACTATGTACATCCACAGGACTCCACTATCATGTCAGTGACGTCCGTTTTGACAATACTGTGCTGAGAATTGAAGTAGACCATGGAAAGTGGCCGGCGCTCAGTGGGAACACAACAAGAAGATGTAGCTGTGTTGATGCCGTTGATTTTCAGCTGGCTGAACACGGTGGCATGGAATGAGGACGCTATCCCTGGGGAACCAGACAGGTGTTGGGGACACTGGCCCATGCAGTAGTTCATGTGGTAGCCTTCGGGTGCAATTATCCACTCATCCCACTGGATATCCTTGAACCTGATGTAGAAGTCTCTTTTACAGCACACGGTGACATCGTCACCACAACGCAACGAGCGCTTCCTGGGTAAATGTTTGGAGTGATCGTCACGGAGACGAACCTGGGCTACCAGGAAGGGCTGGTACGGTGTGTCGGCAGAGCCATCTAGGGAGCAAAGGTTCTTCCCATCCTCATCGCAGCTGACTTCCAGTCTTAGCTGGTGTTGGCCACCGTCCAGGAAGGCCTGCAAGGTGTGTGTGATTGGGAAGGTGTGCCAGTTGCTCTCCTGGACCTCTAGCATCTTTTCTATCACCAGGGTGCGGTTAGTAGCAGACACCCCACCATCTGCGGAAAGGAAGACTCTGGCTGGGAGGCGGGAGTCACGGTGTGGGTCCCCAGAGGCGCGGGCATAGATCCACAGAGAAGACTGGAGGACGTGCACACTCTGGCCACGTTCCTGCAGAAACTGGAAGGTAAGGCTGAGACTGGCCTCATCACCACTCTCTGTCCCATCTAAGATCAATGACAATTTAAAAACATTAATAATATTGTGGACATTATAGAGATCGTGAAAGGGGAAAACGTTAAACCATTCTTGTAATTTGACAGATTCGTATAAAAATAAAGGACAAGTCAATCTTTTTTCAGCATTTACCTCAACACGGTGACATGGCTGATAATAAGATCACAACACGCTCTGGAGACAGATTTATTGTTAAATCTAAAAGTCATACTGTAATCCTAAACTTTACTTTTTCACTATGTGGAATAGTCTACAACAATCTAAAGTAGCTACGAAAACACATTAAAACGCTGACCTAATTTGTATGCATTTTAAGAATGCAGCTCTCACACAAGTTGCGCTCATGTGGAGAGTTTCAGTACCATACAGAAGAGAAACACATGCTTACAATATAAAAGGTGAATACATGACTTACTTATATCTGCAAAGCTCACTATTTCATAGCCTTGATCTTTGGTAGGTATATTGTTTTCTAGTTCAAGAGTACCGTCCTGTCTAAAGCGCCCTGAGTGCAGTTTACGCAGCGCAGTGAGAAGCGCTACCCGGGGCACCGTGTGAGTTATGTTTGGTCTCTCTTTCAGGTGCAGCTTCTCCAAAAGTTGCTGCTTGGCAATTTCTATCATAAGCCTTTGCTCTGCGTCTTTCTCCATCGCCGGCAAGCCACACGACGCGCAGCCCCGGGAGCCATGGACCAAGAGACCCTTCAGTAGCAAGGGTACCAAAAACAGAAAGCATGGGAATGAAAAACACGACATCATTCTTGATCCTGACGCACATAAATATGTTTGTGCTCGACGTGCGTAAAAGACCAAATAAAAAAAAATCTTCAGATCCTTTTTCCTGAGTTGTTTTTTAAAGTTTCCCAAATGTTGTCAGAGGTCTGTTGACAGCTGGAGACCGCAAAGACAGGAGCTGAGAGAAAGGAGTGGTGTTTCACCGCCCTGATGGTGAAGATATCTGGGGTAATCCACCAAAATAGGTGACACGTTGGAGGGATGCACCAATGAGCGCATCGGGACACCGAGGAAATTATTGGCAAAGCATCTGGCTGTGTCCTGCTCTCTCCAACACGCACTCATGCAACACACGCGTAACACGCGCTCATTCATAAACGATCGATTTACAATCATCAGAGAAGCGACTTCTAGTATTTCACGGAATCAATAAAACGTCTGCCAATAACACACCTGCTACAGCTTCTTACTCGCAGTTTTTAGGCCAAAAGGTGAGCGGTTTTGATTCATTTTAGGATAATATAATAAGGTTATCACCTACGTTTATTACAACAGGTAGTTTGTGTGCCACGTTGACCTCTCCAGGGCGTCTGAACGGGATACGCAACCCGTCATGGCTCTTGCAGATCAAAGTTGAAATTCCGTGAACTTTAACCCAGTTGCAGCATACGCCAGTCTCAGCTACAAAACAATTGAATTGTATGTGCACAAGTGCTCGGGGCTATGAGGCGGAAACATCAACGTGGTATTTGAAACACGTTGCGTCATGTTACCTGTGAGGTGGAATAATCAAATCAAATCAAAATGCATTTATATAACACTTTCAAAACAATAACTTGTTGACCAAAGTGCTTTGCATAGAAGTAAAGTAAAACGAAGAGAAAGAAACACTGAGAACTAAAGACATGAGAACATAGGTTATGTGGTTATGCTTATGAGTACTTGTCAAGAGATTAGCAGCTGCGTTTTGAACCAGTTGGAAATAATATCATGCTACAGAATGATGCCTTGTGTGTGTGTGTGTGTGTGTGTGTGCGACAGAGAGAAGAAGAGAGAGAGAGAGAGAGGTAGGCCTAGCATACTCGCTGACTAAATTTATAATACTATAACATGTTCTATACTGTACATAGGCAATATAATTATGACATTAGAATTTCAAGAAAGCTACTGTAACAAATTACTTCACAGAGTGGATTTGAACCCAGAAACATATTGAAGGGAACAAGTTTATATGGGGCCATATGCCGCCATCAAAAAAGAATGACTTTCAAAATCATTAGGCCTATGCATAGTTAAAGTGGTAGAAAGTAGTCTACTGACAACGTGGCTTTGTCCTTCATGTTTAGCCTTACACCTGGCAAGCACTGACAATCAAATCAAGCTTTCTCAGAACTCCTGATCTATGCAAGAGTATATAAAAATGTAAACTGTTGGAATAGGCCTAAGTTATATCACTGATACTTATAGTAGGCTATGCATGCTTTTTCCCCTTTATTTATTTATTTTTACCTCTAGTCTTAGGGTTGAATAAGCGGTTAAGCTACAAAGCCTTATGGCATAGAAGAACTTGCCTGCCGTCATGTGGAGAATTTTAGGAACTACAATAAACTACTTAATCTTTCAAATAATCATTTATAAAATTCAAGTGTGTTAACTAAAACAGAAATTGTTTGATTTCACTCAACACTCCTTTAATCATGACCATGCAATGTTTCCTAAGGAAGCTCTAAAAAACAAGGTTAGAAACTCATAATCATTCAGTCTTAGACTGATAATGTTAATGCGTTAGGCTACCGTGTTTAGTGGTTTGTCCTGGTATGTGGGAAATGGATACCACAATACCACAGAGTAAAAATACTGTTACAAGAAAAAATTATTCTGCCCTAAAATTACATATATATATGGGCTACTGTACGGAGTAAACTTTAACAGTAAAATACTTAAAAAAGTATTTAAAAAAGGTATGCTATAATCATTTTGCAGAATGGTCCCTTTTAGAGATGCTATCATATTAAAATAATAATAATGCTTCATATTTTATAAATTGTTAGTTGCATGTAAATTCAAAGTAACTACAGTTGTTTTAATACAAGTACCTAAAGGTTTTACTGTAGTAAACGTAGTCTATCTGGAGATCTACAGAAAACTGTGCCCCCAGTGTGTTGCTGTAGTTTAAAGGTTCGTAATGTTAATAAACCTTCATTGCTTTAAAACTGACCATTTGCACCCAAATGACTTATATTCATAGACAAAACATCAAGAGAGTTTTTGCATTTCGTGCAAGTAACGTTGAGAATGAATAAGTTTAGGTTACTGTATCCTGCGTCTCCCTGCGACTGTGAAGTACGTCGCTCACGTAAACTGTCGGTGAGAGGAAACGTTGACACACACACACGTACACTAGAGCCGAGAAGGGGGAATAGCGTTTTGTTTATTTTTTTCTTTAATTTGTATCTCTTTATTCTTTGGCGTTTTGTTGTTATGTAGCTGTATTCCCGTAACAGATTCGACTGCCTTGCTCTTCAGCGCTTGCTCTTTATCGTTAATATTCATGCCGCTCTCTCCTCACGCGGCGCTATTTTGACAGTCGGGGTCGAAGTGAACCAATTCAAGCTAGCAGCACCACTATATTAGCATCGGTAAGTCATTCGGAAGGCTAACTAACCACACCACTTAGCACCTTTTATTTTAAGACCTGGCAGTGTTGGTACAGATTTATAACAAAGTTTGCTTCACTGTAAACATATGCTACTTTGTTAGTTAACCAGTTGTAATGTGAACGCTACATTTTAGTAATGTTGAGTAGTTAGCGTTCACTGAAAAGAAAAGGCTAGGTAGCGCGCTAACATTAGCTAGGTGGCTAGGTGCTGTAGGTGGCTAATTATACTCGGTAGAAGAAGCAAGGTAGCTATTGTTAGCGTATGAGCAAGCTAACATTTTCAGTCAACAGCACAGCTCCGGCACTGACTATACTGCCGTCTGTTATTTACAGACACAACTGAAGGATTCTCCGCACGGACTCGAGACATACAGCCAGCAAAACGGTGAGCCGAATCTCTATGGTGACTTGAGACAACTTAAAACCGCTGGTCCACGATTGGTGGATCATAAATTTTGAGTGAGCTTTAGTGAGGTTAGTAACGCAACATTTAGCACCATCTTTAAAGTTTGGTGTTCTCCATGCCATATTCGCCATGACCATGTTAACATTTTATCCTTCTGAACTTAGCAGAGACTTTACTGAAACCAGGAGAATGAATGCGCGACTCAAGTGATTGGGAATGAAATGATTAGCTAATTATTTGCTTGACTCTGAATGAAGTGATTGAACATTGTAGCTTTTCATTAGTCAAGCTTAAAGCCCACCACAGCTAGTGAGAAAAAGGTGTTATTTGTGCCATTACACCTTGTCGTGAATGTGTCCACTGATGATCAGAAATTACTGCAAACAAAGCGTAGATGAAATTAACATTAACAGGACGAATGATCGAATGGTAGTGTTCTGAATTTGAGCTAAAGTTTGTTTAAAAAAATATTCCTAGGTTCTCTCTGTTTGTCTCTACATTCGCTTTACTCAGTGAGGATTCGTCTGTAATTGAATGAGGTGAAACGGAAGAAAGCCGGTCGCTCATTTTGTGTTTCAGCCCACAGTTTGTAATGCACAAATAAAAAAATAGGAATTATTGAGGAATACTTAATAAACTTCCGTTGCTGTGTGTATTGGTTTTAGCATACTTCTTGACACCCGAGTCGAAAATAGCAAAACTGTTGTGTCAAACAAGGTGCGATCGCAGCACAGAGAGCCAGAGCTGTGATTCAAACATCTGCTCTGAGAAAACAGCATGCTTGTCTGAAAAGAAATATTAATTTAACTTGGAATTTTTGCATTTGCTTTGTGATGTCTAGAATTGGCAATAATACAGAGTCCTGCTACTGGTTTAAGGACCATATTAAAGGACCATATTATTGGGGATTCCTTTATAAGTAGTAAGATCCGATGGAGGTGAGTCACCGAATCAACGATCTGCTGTTGCTAAGGCCATTGACAAGCATATCCTGCCTCCTTGTCATCACGTTTCCCCTCTTATACCTTGTAGCCTTCAGTCTCTATGCTGCAGTATGTACCAAATGGTGAAATGTCAAAAAATTGTTAGGCTCAGTAATTACAGTTAGGTGGTCAAGTGCAAGACTTGTAGAGATGTCATAAATGTGCTTATTTGTTGTTGTTTTTTTTAAATATATTCTTTATTCTAAACACCAGTAGAAATGTGGCTTTGTGTTGCAGGCAACCTACTTGATTTGACTGTGTTAAGTCTTATAGTCAAATATTTATACAAGCCGTGATAGTTGATGTAAAGGAGGTTTAATACTATATTTTAGGCTGATGTAATATAACATGCAGCGGTTATGCAGCCATTATCTAATAAGACATGATCTCTGTGTTTATTTGTCAGCCAGGTATCCATATCTCCTTCTGTCTCTGAATCCCTGTTTGCAGCGGCAGAGGCAGGAGAGTGGCTTTTTCTAGAGAGATTTCAAGAGCTATTTATAGATCTCTGCCAGAGCACCATGCCTAGTGCTGTTGCTGCTGCTCCTATCTCTCTTTTTTTAACCACTACTGCTTCTGTTTCTCTGTCTCACTCCATCTCTGTTTCCTCTTGTCCTGTTGTCTTAGTTTTCTGTGCTCACTGTCTCTTGACGTCTTCCTCACACAGTTTTCTAACCTATCCTTAGCCTAATTGCTTGGTTTGTTGTAAAATATTGATCAGAGCAGAAGGGAAGTGATTGGTTGAATTGCTGTAACTCTGACCTCAGATAGCTGCCTGATTTCAGTGTCATTGCAATAAGGCTGGAGGGTTTTCACATGACATTTCAAATTGAGAAATTGGAGGTTTTGGTACATGTTGAAATTCACCAGGAATTGGAAAAAATGTTTATTTATTTATTTCCAAGCTGATATACTAACACTTTTTCGGATGAATGTTCATTGCAAGTGTTGCTTTAGGCCTGTTTATCAATAGATTTGACTCCAAATAGACCTTATTCATCCCATGTTGAATCAAGTCTATAAGAAACTGGCTATGCCCAAACAGTCATATTTTGTAAGACTATTTTTTTTCAGTCACAATTAAAATTTTTCTAGAATTTTCTAATATCTTAAGCTGAGTTATATGCTATGTGTAGCAGCTGCAGCATCATGTCAGGTGATTGTCTTTATGAACTCTTTATCTGTGGTATCTTTGGCTGCTGATCCTTGCTCAGCTCCTCCCCTTTCTCCTTCCTTCTCTCTAATCCATTCACAGTCTTCTTTTAACATCCTGTGAGGGAGGCTATCTGGCAGCCCAAATGCAGAAGAAGCTGATGGACTTGGTTTGAGGCATTTGGTGGCATTAGTGGTCAACCTGAGACAAATCTTTTTCCTTGGCCATGCTAGGATCACAGAATAGTTGGCTAGATTCTTGTCTTAACTTGGCTAAGTAATAGATAGGATAGAAGGCAAGTTGAGTGCTAAATGTCTGTCAATCCATCCATCTGTCCATCCAGCCATCCATCCATAAATTTTCTGTACCTGGTTGTGGTGGGCAGGATTCTCAAATCTTGATTGTCGCTTTGAACCGAAGGCCATCTTGTGTGACATTGCGGAACACCGAGCTACAGTACTGCTCCTATGCTGAATGCAAGCAACTTAAAGTGAAATGTATTATATATTCAAAAACAGAATAAATAAAGAGCATTGATATGTGTGTGGACTGATATGTAAACAAGAACAACTCTATTCCAAAGATGGAGAAATTGCCTTATCATTAAAAGTCAAATCTAACATTTGCTTCATATCATTTGAATCACTAACTGACTTTGTGGTCAACCTGACCAGACCCAAGGTGCTTATACAGGGATGTAGGCCTGTTTTCAGTTGCAAATTGTTGTACATTTAGTGCCCTGAGGATTGACCTGTTCAACTATCTGGTATTAATAACAGTCCCAGCTCCTAAAAATGGCGTTGAGACTTTACTTTTATGCTTCTGTCAGGCAGTCTTAACAGAGATGCGCTATCCAGTGTTTTCCCTAGGTTTTCAAATGGCATAGGAATTTATTTATGTAATGTCAGCTAACTAGTTTCCTTAGCTGACGTATGTGTTAAACTGCATTAGCAATTGTGTACTTCTAAAAGAGGCAACATTCTGCTGTTTCATTTGTTACTATTCGCAGGAATTACTCCCCAACAAAGTTGTAGCCTACTTCATGAATTCTTTGTGGAGGCTAGCCTTACTGATGGCTCTCACTTCCATCCTAAGTTGATGGTACATAGAAATATTCAGTCAGCTGTTCGATTATGCTGTCAAACAACTGTTTAGCTAAACACTGATTGTTGATTGAGAGGTCATTCCTTTTGCCAGCTTGCTTTACATTTTGAGATCAAGTCACCTCTCCCTTATTTTTCAATGCATATAACTCACCATTGTTTTTACATCCATTCTGATAATGTTGCCTTTTTATACTCATTTTAGGTGCTCCACAAAAACACTTATGGCACTGTGTCTAAACCTTTTTCTGGTATAGGGAAAACCTTGCTGTCATATGTAATGTAATGGATGTTGAGAACCAGTCTAAAATTGTAGGAGCTTGGACACTTATCAGAAATGTGCCCTTTGGGCACATTATTGACCTTTGAAGTGAATTGCTTTTGTTTTGTTTAGACCCGCCGTGCTACCTTCCACATCTCCGGTAATGCACATTTCAATACATGTACTGATTAAATCAAATCAAATCAAATCAAATTTTATTTGTATAGCGCCAAATCACAACAAAAGTAATCTCAGAACACTTTACAAAGTAAGGTCTAGACCTTACTGTTATCACTATTATTACATAGGGAAAACCCAACAAATCCCCCTTGAGCAAGCACTTGGCGACAGTGGGGAGGAAAAACTCCCTTTAACGGAAGAAACCTCCGACAGACCCCGGCTCTTGGTGGGCGGCCTTTTGCCTCGACCGGTTGGGGTGAGTGGATAGAGGAGAGACAAAAGAAGAAAAGCAACAAGACACAACAAACAATCAAACACTAATCAGGTCGATGTGGCTGGTGACTGCTCGTCAGAGATGTAGAGCTCCAAGGCCAGGGCAACCTGCAGAAAGGCACAGAGAGAGAGTGAGAGAGAGGACACACTACGGGAGAGAGGAGACACAAAGTTAGTAATGTGTAATGGTGGCATATAGAAGCATAGGGAGAGAGAGGAGAGGAGAGGAGAGCAGAGCAGAGCAGGAGGGGAGGGGAAAGAAACTCAGAGCATCATGGGGCCCCCAGCAGCCTAGGCCTATAGCAGCATAACTAAGGGAGGGCTCAGGGTCACCTGATCCAGCCCTAACTATAAGCTTTATCAAAAAGGAACGTCTTAAGTCTAATCTTAAAGGTAGAGAGGGTGTCCGCCTCCCGAACTGAGACTGGGAGTTGGTTCCATAGGAGAGGAGCTTGATAGCTAAAGGCTCTGCCTCCCATTCTGCTTCTGTGGACTCTAGGAACCACAAGTAAACCTGCACTCTGAGAGCGAAGTGCTCTGTTAGGATGATAAGGCTCTAGAGATGACTAGAGATGTTGTTTTAACATGGGATTAAAAGCTTCACAGCACAAGTAGTTTCACTGTCCAGGGCTTGCAAAATTTCAAAATCCCTGGTAGCCCTTCGGGCAGGTACTCTTTGGTTTTTACTAGCCCGAAATGAATTTAAGTAGCCTGAATAAAATAAGAAAAATATTTTTAATGTAGAATATCAATAATCAGCAATTGTGTCATATTGAATCTGACATATCAACTGAAGTCACAAATGGCACTCGACGTTGAGGGCATAGCATCTT